GTGGAACTACGTTGGCGCGCGAGGGTGTGCTTCCTAACGCCCCTGTAGTTTTGGTGGTCAGTCTGGAGTGATTGACGAGTACAGGAAAATAGATCATTTTCGAATTTCGAACTGCCACTCAAATTAGTCTTGGAGAAATAAGGAGGGGGTTATTCTAGGGCTATCTCGAGGACTCTAATCTGCTGATCCATCGGTCGCGATACGCCGACGGAGAGGTATAGCAAGTAGATGAGAAAATAGTCTGCAGTTTGGTTACAGCTCATGGTTACCACGAGCACCAGAAACGGTGACGATCTTATAGACGGTATATCACCTAGGTTCATCGAATCAATTCTGGCATCGTATTTGAATATGGAAATAAATTTTTTTGGAGGATTTTATTGATGCGAACGCTATGATGCTACTCAAGAGTATTGCTCGGGTGACGAAGTAGTATAAATCTGAATAATTTTCTCTTCGTTCTCTTGCCATGTCATCACCACCAACATCACCGGAGTTGCCCAAGTACGCGGAGAGGGTCGCGGGTTCACGGCCACAGGGGATGGAAGCTAAATTGGCAGAAGCACTTGATAACGAGTGGAAGAGAACAGAGGAGTGTCGTGAGAAGGAAAGGGAGATTTGTGAGCTGCGAAAAAGGTAATAAGAATGGTGGTTGTCGTAGATGACTTTGGCGCAATACCCCTCTGCGGAAATTGGAATGGTCGGATAGTAGTAATAGGGTGGTAGATAATGAGGGTGGATAGGTTGTTCTTAGCAACGACTATGTGGTATTTGATCTTGTCACGCAGCTCTGGAGGAATTTTAACCTCAAGTCCTATGCTTTTTCGAGCGTTGTTGAAACGCTCGAATTTGGAAAATGAGTTTTTGTCGATATATGAGAATTAATGAGGATATGGTGACTGTTATGAGGCCGCTGAAGGTGACCCTGTGTGGTAGAGCAGTTTTGATGAGATGCCTGTGAGTTCAATGGAGTTTCACCCTAGTGATATGAAAAACATATTTCACGACTGCTGCATATCACCGCGGATATCGCGTGTTTCGCCGAGTTTTCCGCCACCTCGCGAAAAACGGGTGAAACTCCAATGATTAAGCGAATATGGCGAGAAAAGCTATTTCATGGGGCGCCTCTTAGGAAGGCCTTAGTTTTGACACCCAGCGTTAGTTCAGTTGTATTTGGAATTGTAGGTTGAGAGAGTACGAAAGGAATATAGAGCAGGAGCGGTTACTGGGCAGTGGGGAAAATGAGGGAGATGATGTCAAGCTGGCGAAGGAGATGAGGAGTCTCGAGGAACAGGTGAGGGCGGCAGGGTCACTCCTCGTGGTTGATCGGGGAAGGTTAGATCTGAGCTAATGGAGATTGATATGCTAATGAATGGATTTCATAGCATAAAGTTCGTTTCTGAAAGGATCAATGGGGTTTCACCCTAGTGATATGAAAAACACGAGTGAAAAACATGTTTCGCGACTATTGCATATCACCGCGAATATCGCGTTTTTCACCGAGTTTTACGCCACTTCACGTAAAACGGGTGAAACTCTAATGATCTCATTAAGACTTCAAAAACAGGTGGGAGAAAAAGATTGGATTTTTTTCGCGAAGAAAATTGGGGAAATGATTGAAAATTTTGGTAGAATAGTGAATTTGTCTATAACATCATTGATCAATTGTGGTAGGTGGACGAGTGGAAGGATAAGGAGGTGGAGGCGTTGACAAGAGTAAGGGAGTTGGAGGGTGAGAGGGACCAAGCTCTTGAGGAGGCGCGATGCCTTGAGGAGAAGCTGCAACAAGAGCGACAGAAAAGGCTGGCTCTGGAAAGGGCCGAGGAGGAGTTGAGAACGCAGGTATACATATATTAAATTTTTAGACTATATAAATTTGGAGCACTGTAGTGCTCGGAAGTATGTTTGCTCTACTCAGCTGAGGTTAGGAGTAGAATTTTTATATTGTCACCAACACGTGTAGTCGAGTATATGCATTTTTTCTCACGTTGCGCGGGTGAGAATAAGAAGCTGAGAGTTTCAAGATTTTATATCTCAGTGATGGATCCTGTCGTGTGTGTATTAATGGAGTTTCACTTGTTTTACGTGAAGTGGCGTAAAACTCGGTGGAAAACGCGATATTCGCGGTGATATCAGCAGTCATGAAATATATCTCTCACTAGTGTTTTTCATATCACTAGGGTGAAACTCGAATGAATCAAATTCGTAAGGAATAAAAGAGAACACAGGATTGGGTGTATTCTCTGATTTTACTCCAATTTTCAACGACGACTAGTTTGCAGTTTGTGTGCTATGTCTACGTTGAGATTATCAGTGGAAGTAAAATAACAAGGATAGGAGATCTCAGCTTTGATCGTCACCGAGTTTGCGAAAGTGGGGATTTAAATTCGTTTCCAAGGGCGAGAGTTGATCCACGGTAGTTTACGGTCTCTTTTATATGCGCTGTGAAGAATTGACATAGTACGAGCTATCTGGGGAGTGAGAATACGTGTGCTGAGGTAACTTTTTTCTACAGACGATTTTGAAGCTAAAATTTTGAATCTAAGGAGCTCTTATTACAATGGAGTTTCACCCTAGTGATATGAAAAACACCAGTGAGAGATATATTTCATGACTACTGCATATCACCGCGAATATCGCGTTTTTCACAGAGTATTACACCACTTCACGTAAAACGGGTGAAACTCCACTGTATGTAATCTCACCTATTTTTCCAAGAAGCTTTTCCTTTCCCTTGTTGACTTACGAGTCGTGTTCATTTGCACGAAACATAATCCTCCTATTTTTCAATCGTTGGGGGAAAGTTGGTATTCGTATAAGAAGTATATTAATAGTGATTTGGTGATAGGGAAAGGTTTGCCTTATAGTCTTCCGTGGGTGTGAGTGCTCTGTTGTTATTATTCTCAGTGCAAGCAACTAGAGAAAAAAATATCAGTTTTACGGGAGGAGAACTCAACACTGGAAGATGAGAAGCAGATGGTCAGTTAAAATCATCACATCCTTTTATTAGTGTCAATTGCTGGCCTCAGGCGATAGAAGGGCACTCGGCGGTTTGCAACAGATTGTATAATGTCCAAGCCGAACTGGATAGCGCTCTGGAGGAGCTGCGTACGAGGAGAGGAAGATCCTCGACAACGGGGATATGCAGTTTGGAGGCGGAGTTGGAAGGTGAGGGGAAGGAGATGAAATTATTTCCTCTGTTGGTATCAAGTGGAGTGCAGCGAGGGGAAATACCCTCTTAGCATGATGATGCTAATGAGTGTAAAACATCATTGCTCCGCCTCCCCATCGTTATAGGAGCAGTGATCAGTTTATAGAACCCAGACAGCGACCAAGAGTTGGTGTGCGTGAGTAAAGTGATCCTGGGCATTAGCGAATCGTCTTGGAATAGATTGAGAGATCGATACAGCTACAAGTAAGAAGGCTATGGTCACAGATAGCCTTGTGACACCCTCAAAGGAAGATCCTTGTTTCTTCTCCCACACTCCCGAACCCTGTTAATTGTGACATGGGGGGATATACGCTCTTAGCATGATCATGCATGCTAAACATGGCGGAGCAATGATGTTTTACAAAATTTCCATCAGTATGGTGGTACGGCAATGTTGGAATATATGTTCGCTTTGAGGAGTTTACACTCGATTTGGAGTAGAAGTCTACAGAAACCAATGAGAAAATTTCTATGTATCGCCAACACATGTGGTTGAGCATGTACATAGTCTCCCGCACTGCTGACCGGAAGGCTGAGAGAGGTTACTGGAATATGTTTATATCCTCTATGGAATCTCTGCGGCTCTGAGAAAACACAAACGAAATTGGGAATAAGGAAAAAAATTCGGATAGGAAAATATTGCAAAGTCGTTCAGGAAGGGGTTTTAAAATTATCATCAATACGGTTTTTATGAAGGTAACACTAAAGTAGAGAGGAAGATGAGTGTGATGAGTCTGAGAATTGGTTGATCGCGTGCGTGCAAAATTTCCCCACAGAATTAGCATGTGATTGACAGTAGCAAACAAAGTTGTAATGTATGTTCGCTTACCTCAGCTGGGCTCATGAGTTCTCTCGCTGATTATAGAACTCCATATACGTATTCGGGTGAAGAAACTAATAAGAATTTCCGAAGATTTTTCCCACAATTCTCATTTTCACCATATGTATATTTTCCCACATTGGCAACGACTCGGCAATTTGGAATCGATTTTCGTCCTCCTTCGAATTGGTGAACTTTAACAGGTTCGACGAAAAAGGAGTTGGAACAGTTGAGGTCAACCGTCCAGAAGTTGCAAAGTGAACTTCGGGCTACTGACAAGGACGCGGTGGCTCGGTTGAAGGCACAGCTTG